GGGGGTGGGGAACAGGCTGCCCAGCCCTGTGGTTGAAGCCGATACCCTGGCTTCTCTCCAGACACAGCTGGGTGAGCTCCTCTAGTCAGGACAGGAGGCTCTTCTGTACACACGTTTTTCAAAGTGCTTTATAACACCAGCATGAGTAAATTCAGAAGGGAAAACATGAAACATTAGGGTGGCACTGTGCTCAGCACTGCTTTCTCACACCACTGGGGCCCTGGGGTCATCTCCTGGAGTGCTATCTGTGTGTGTTGGACAGGTGTCCAGTGAGGGACTGGTGTCCAGTGTTGGGCTTATGGTCAGTGAGGGACTGGTGTCCAGGGAGGGACTGGTGTCCTGTCCAGGCTGTACCCTGCCTTGTGCCCAGTGCTTGCTGGGATAGACTCCAGCTCCCTTGTGATCTTGTACTGGATACAGCAGTGATGGACACAACACAACTGTTTTCACACAACGCTGGAACACATCAATGAAAGATTGATAGTAATTAAGATCCGTGTACACTGTCAAGGAAACACAGAGCAAGCACTGACACCCAGCTACTGGTGACACTAGCAGCAGTGAGATTTTCAACTGGCTGCACTGTCAGACTGCAGTTCCTGTATCACCCTGGGACTTTCCAGCTGTCTGTGTGTTCAACCCCAGCACTGGAGACTGTGTGCTACACACACACAATAATCTAACACATGACTTATTGATAATGTGCATGGGATTTCATAAACACGGCCTTGTCTGTGATTTAAATCTCAGGTATTTGAAGCTCCTTTGCCAGGCGGAAGGTTTTGGCGAGTGTCGGTGGAGTGGGTGTCGCTGGTGTTTCTACCGGTCCGATCCCTCTCTCACACTGGTGTGCCACAGTCCACACACTGCAGCAGGCTCTGGAAAGTCCCTGCAGGGAGACTTCGAGCAGCGAATCAGCACACAGTGCTGGTGCCGAGTCATCAGGTGTGAGGGAGAGGGCACAGAGTCTGACACTGCAGTGCTGTTCAGCAGCTCTCTGTCCATAGTCTTCAGACTGGGCTTCAACAGCAGGGCTGGGCAGCTTGTTCCCCACCTCCACCCCTCTCTGTGTACAGAAGAGCCTCCTGTCCTGACTGGAGGAGCTCACCCAGCTGTGTCTGGAGAGAAGCCAGGGTATCGGCTTCAACCACAGGGCTGGGCAGCTTGTTCCCCACCCCCACCCCCCTCTGTGTACAGTAGAGCCTCCTGTCCTGACTGGAGCAGCTCACCCAGCTGTGTCTGGAGAGTGAATAAAACTGTTATAGAATAGATGGATGGAAAATAAGTCCTTATTCAAACAGCTGCCTTCAGAGGTTTCAGGGGTGCTGCTCACACACCTGATACAGCCTCGCTGTGTGAATCACACCGTGGGATCAGACTGCTGGAAGTGTCCCGTCCTGTGTCAGCCATTCACCCTCACAGCACCATCGCGAAGCTGCTTCCCAGCACGAGCCCCACTGGGGCGACTTCGCATCTCCAGCAGAGGAAACTGTCACAGAGACCCCCACAGCACCTCCATAGCTCTCGAGAGAGAGACCCACCAGCAGCCGGTGGAGATCACGAGCGCATTTAATCTGAGCAGCGCTGTTTCAAAGAGGACATTAAAGACAACTCTCAGGGTCAAGACCTGAAGGGCTCTGCTCCTCTCTTTCACCCAGTGAGCTGTAGTCGGTGTGATATCAATTCCACTAGGGGGCGCTCTTCCTGTGCTCGGTGTCCAGATGGACGAGCTGCCGGCCGGCCCCTGTGGTTGTGCCACAAGGGGGCGTAAGAGGTAGTGGCGCTGGCGCTGGGAGCTGCATTCCTCACATTCTCAGGAGGAAATCGCTGAACTGGCTGCACCTGGGATCTCCTGCTCCCTATGAAAGCAGTTCCTGAGGAGGGCAGGGGTTGCCCTGCTGTTCAGCAGAATAGTGAGTGTGTAGAAGGTGGT